AGCTAAGCTTCCTAACATGGATAAAGGAAGAGTCTTAGGCATTTTCTACTCCTAAAATGCAACAACAAAGGAAAGCTGCTGCAAACATGATTCATGGCTCAGAACTTGGCCATGTTGTCCATTGTCTTTGTAGTTCTGGCTTTAGAGACATGATGGAAACATTGGTAAAGCGGTCATGGAATCTTCCTCAGTAGTTATGGAGAGCCACTGAGGCCAGTTGTGTAGCAGGTGAGTCACCAAATGGAGGCACTGAGAAGCCTTTGGGAGATGTTGTGAAAGTGAAGCCTGCATTTTAGTAGAGTCCCTGAGTCGTGGGACATCTTCTAAGGAAAGATAGGAAGTGCAACCAGCCCAAGAGAGAGAAGGGTGTTGTGGGCCACAGAGCAAGAAAGGTGGAATCACTTAAGCCCTGACACTGGACACGGAGGTATAGGGTTTGGGGCTTGCTCTGCTAGGTTTTGTTCTTGGTTTGGTTCAGCATTTCCTAACTATGCCCCCTTTCCTCCCTTTTGGAATAATAGTTAATATTCTGTGCCATTGTATGTTGGAAGCACGTAATTTGCTTTTTTATAGGGGTTAGTTATGAGATTGTCATGAGTCTTAGAAGAGATTTGGACCTTTAAATAGTGTTGATACTGTGAAAGTCTATGGGGACTTGAAGTTGGACTAAGTGCATTTTGCATTATAGAATGCCAGGGAGTGGAATGTGGTGGTTTGAATGAGGATGGCTCCCATAGAACGTTTGAATTTTTGGTCCCTAATGGTGGAACTATTTGGGGAAAACTGGGTATGGCCTTGTTGGAGGAGCTCTGTCATGAGGGTGGTCTTTGAGGTTTAAAAAAGATTTGTACCATTCACACTGTGCTCTCTGCCTCCTACTTGTGCATCAAGGTTTGAGTTCTCAGCTCCTGCTCCAGGTGCTTATGGCCTAGCCTTCAAAGGTGGGTTGCATTCTTTTTTTAATTTGCTTGATCATGATGTTTTGTCAAGGCAATAGGAAAGTAACTGACAAACAGCAAGCACTCAGCCACTGAGCCATCTCTCCAGCCCATATTTTAATTTTTAAAAAATTTTTAAACTATTTTATGTGCATTGGTGTCAGATTCCCCAGGAACTGAAGATACAGACAATTGTGAGCTGCCATGTGGGTACTGGGAATAAAACCCAGATCCTCTGGAAGAGCAGCCATGCTCTTAACCACTGAGCCATCTCTCTAGCCCCTATTTTTATCATTTTTAATTATATGTAGGTGTATGTGTCGCCATATGTGTATGTGCATGTGTAGTGACTAGTTTTATGTCAACTTGACACAAGCTAGAGTCATCAGAGAGGAGGGATCCTCAATTGAGAAAAGGTGACTTGAGATTGGGCTTTAGGCAAGCCTGTGGGGGTCTTTCCTTTCCTTTTCCTTCCTTCCTTTCTTTGTTTTTGCTTTTAGAGACAGGGTTTCAGTTGTGTAGCCTTGACTGTAGACCAGGCTGGCCTTGAACTCAGAGATCCACCTGACTCTGCCTCCTGAGTACCACTATTGCCTGGCTGTATTTTCTTAATTAGTGATTCATGGGGGAGAGTCCAGCCTATTGTAGGTGGGTCCACCCCTGGTCTGGTGCTTCTGGGTCCTAAAATAAAGCAGGCTGAGAAAGCAACGGGAAGCAAGCTAGTAAGCAGCACCCCTCCTTGTCCGCTGCATCAGCTCCTGCCTCCAGGTTTCCTGTCCTGTTTGAGTTCCCTCCTAATTTCCCTCAGTGGATTGTGATTCTGCAGATGGAAACCAAAAAAACCCTTTCCCCCCAGTTGCTTTGGTCATAGCAACTCTAACTAGGACAACATGGAATACAGGCCAGAAGAGAACTTGGAGCTGTAGTTGCAGAGTTGGGAGACACCTCATGTGGGTTCTGGAAACTGAACTTGGTTCTCTGAAGAGCTCCCTCTCCAGCTACCTCCAATACCAACTGGAATTAGTGTGGGCTGAATGCCCTCGTAGGTCTGAGGCACGGGAGGCAATTATATTGAACACTGTACAAGAACCATCTGGTGCTTGCTGCGCTAGCTCACCAAGACAGCAGGGCCAAGTGTGTGCAGAAGCAAAAGGCAGTCCAGGGCAGGGACTGCTAGTTCATCTCTTTAGCTCCTTCTGTCACTCAGGAGATGCCCAGCGGCCCGAGCCAATCAGAGCCTCGGAGCTCACACCGTTCAATGACAAGCGTGCCTGGCAGGCGGGAGGCGGGTTCTGTCTGGCCGCCATGCTGTGGACTGAGCTCTGCGGTTGAGGGAAGCCCCATGGACGCTTGTGCTGCACTATGAGCTCCGGCTCGGAAGCCGTGACATGGTGAGCGAGGGTTGCTGTCCTCAGACGGGAAGGAGTAGCAGCTTTGGTGGTTCCTCCCGTGTGAGTAGCTGGGCTCCAGCAGGGACAGCTACCGCTGTGCAGCCCCGACCCTCGTTTGTGTCTGCGCACAACGCTGGGCGCCGCAGGGGAGGCTCCTCCCTCCGTGTTGGTGACGTCACTCACAAGGCGTGGTTTTGGTACCTGGACATGGCTTGCTAAACTCAAGGTCCCGCGGATTCCCTAAATTATGTTTACAATTAGGTGGAGAGTCCACTTTGAGTTAATTTTGTGGAAGTTGTAAACTCAAATTGTTTGCTTATGGATGCGCAGGTTGTCCTGTAATATAATATCTGAGAAGAGCATAATATTGAATTTCATTTGCTCTTTTAAAAAAATTTACTATATCCTGTGTTTGGTTTTTTTGTACTCTTTTGCACATAGATTTATTTCCAAATATTCGTACACTACATGATTATTAAATTTTTTTCGAAAGATAAAGTCAGTGTTATTTTTTTTGTACTGTTTCTTCAGATTTTGTTGAACATTGAGTTTTCCCCCTTAACATAAAACTTTTAGAATAGCTTTTATACAAGATGTTCTGCTATTACACAAGATGTTGCAATTATGTTGAATTTATGGTTTTAACTGAGAAAAGTGATATTTTAAAAAATCTTTTATGCGTGTGGTCGTTTTGCCTGCATGTATGTCTGTGAGCCACATACATACAGCTCCGCCAGAGGCTAGAAGAGGCCTTTAGGTTGCCCTATGACTATTACAGACGATTGTTAGCCATCATTTGGGTGCTGGAATTGAAGCCAGATCCTCTGGAAGAACAATAAGTACTCTTAACCCCTGAGCTACCTCTCTGGCCCCTGGAAAGTGACATCTTGATGTTTTTATTTACCAGGACCATTGCATATCTCATGATATTTTGACTTACTTGAGTCCCACCCCTCCCACCTCCCACCCCCCGGAGACAGGGTTTCTCTGTAGCTTTGGCACCTGTCCTGAAACTTCCTGTGGAGACCAAACTAGCCTCTAACTCACAGATATCCTCCTGCCTCTGCCTTCTGAGTGCTGGTATTAAGGACTTGACTATTTTTTGAAAAAGCAATTTATCCTCATCCATAGATCTTTGTTAAATTTATTATGCTGGGTGGTGGTGGCATTGGCAAGTGTTTAATCCCAACACTTGGGAGGCAGAAACACAGGTTTCAGTGAGTTTGAGGCCAGCCTGGTCTACAGAGTGAGTTCCAGGACTGTTACACAGAGAAACCCTGTCTTCAAAATCAAAACCAAAACCAAAAATTACATGTTTTTCTTTGTGTCCTTTGATCTGTGGTGCAGTGTGAATTTGTTAATCATTTGATCGTTCATAGCTGTTATACTGGAAAATGATGAACTTCATGCATTAATCTTGTATTCCAAAAGTTTGCTGTAGTATCTTATTATTTCCTTGAGTTTTCGTTGATCTAGGAATCTTCTATTTGGAAAAACTTGTATTTTATTTATTGTTTTTTTTTAAAGATACTTTTGAGATTATAATACAATTACAACATTTATTCCCTTTCCTCCCTCTAAACCTTCTCCAGTATATCCCTTCCTCTTCTCCTTCAAATTCATGGCCCTTTATTTTATTGTTATTGCATGCATATGACATATATTTTTCTAAATATAACCTGTTCCGTCCATGTAATGTTACTTGTGCATGTGTTTTCAGGGCTGACCATTTGGCACTGGACAACCACTTGGTGTTCTCTTCCCCAGGGAAGACTACCTGTTCCATTCCCAGCTTTCCTCAGTTACCTATAGTTCTTTGAGTAAGGTTGAAGCTTCATGGGCTTTAGCTCCACTTTGGTGTGCCCATTGGTGTATCTTTGTTTACCTCATGTTTGAGTAATGTTGGTGAGACTTTATGAGTGAGGATTCTGATATTACTAGGAGACACAATCTTACAGCACACTACCTCTAGTTATTACAGTCTTTCCACTCAAGATTTTTACTTCAGTCATTCATTCATTCATTCATTTTGTTTTTCAAGACAGGGTTTCTCTGTGTCACTCTGGAACTCACTCTGTAGATTGGCCACAAACTCAGAAATCTATGCATACCTCTGCCTTCTTAGTGCGGAGATTAAGGGCATGTGCCACCACCCAATCTCCTTTACCTGTCTAACTGTTGTGGAAGCACCTGTGAAGTAGTGCCCACTAGAGAGGCTCATTAGACTCAATAACCATTGCTTTCTTCCCAAAGGCTAATGGGAGTTTAGGAAGTGCCATATTATTTACATAAATCATTTATGTTGAGAGGTTGGTCCTTTATATTCATGTGAACTCTTATCAAAATACTAAGTTCCCTCATGCCATCAAAATTTAAACATTGCTATAAGGATTTCTAAGAACAAGCAGATGCTTGCATGCTAATGTTAACACTGTTCTATCAGGTGGGAGGGCTCTGAGACAGGAAGTAGAAATGCACTGTAGGAAGAGAATTGGGGCAGAGCAGCAGCACATCCTAAGCCCTGGGCCCAGTAATGAGAGGAGTGCTACTACAGGGCTGCTTCCTTCCACATTCCTCAGTGTTTGCATACAACTTCTGTGTCATGGAAGAGATGTGTGGATCCCACAGTGTGGAGTGAACCTATTGTCAATCAAGAATGTGCAATGTTTAGGCCTCAGTGAGCTTTGAGGACGTGGCTGTGCACTTCACCCAGGAAGAATGGGCTTTGCTGGATCCTTCCCAGAAGAGTCTGTATAGAGATGTGATGCTGGAAACCTGCAGGAACCTCGCTTCGATAGGTGAGGACATCATCTTACCATCACTCTGTAAATTAGGGAGCATCTGGGATTTGGACTATTGAAAGGGAGGAATGTGGTGGGGAAAGAAAAAAAAACAAACATTGTTACTGTGGACACTGAAGTTAGAAACTAATTTTTCCAGTGATTTCTAATAATTTATCCTAAATTTTCTGGGATTACCTTTTAGGAAACAAATGGGAAGAGGAGAATGTTGGAGACTGTTATAGAATTCCTGGAAGAAATCTAAGGTAATTTGTATCAAAAGTTGAAACAAATGTACTTGAAGGAATTTTAATGTCCCATGAAAATTTAAAAAAACAAAAACAGCTTTAAGTGTGTCATCATTAGAAAAAGTACACCTAAATTATGGGCACCTAAATGTGTGCTGAACGTCAAAGTGCCAATTAGTGTTTGCAGAGTGTTTTCTCACAACTAGAACTTGCATCAGTGAATGCTATTGTTCTGGTATAGCTCTGTAGGAGTCACATTATGGAACCAGAAATCCATTTAGTTTCACAAGGTTCAGATGTGTTAGAAAGCACATACTTTACCTTATTTCAGGAGCAGTGTATAACAGAAAACTAGTAAGCAACTGTTAGTAAAGCAGCTCTTGCTAACATACTTGTCCTTTTTCAGAAGTTCGGTGTTAGAGACCCCCCATGAGAGTACAGAAGATGGTCAGGATGAAGAAGCCATTATGTGGGTAGCAAATCTCCATACCAGCATGTCAGTTTTTCCTGGACTAGCACCATGTAAACCCAAAGTGTGTGGAAAGGGTTCCATGTGTTCTTCATCCTCTAGTAGACATAACACATCTCACCCTCATTATAACCCACTTGAGCATGAGGAATGTGGAGCCCAGCAATATGACTTGAACTCTCTCACCAGCTTTCAAAGGTGTATGGGAGCTCACACTGGGAATGGACCTTGTGAATCTGAGGTATGTTTAAAAGCTTTCTGTTTTCCACATTCATTAGGAATACATCAAGAAACTCACAATGGAAAAACACCTTATCAGTACAAGGAATGTGAAAAGGCCTCTTTTTATACACACAGAGAAACCCATACTATGGGAAAGCTTTATGAATGTAATATATGTGGTAAAACCTTGAGTTCTTCTACTTCCCTTCAAAGACATGAAATAATTCACACTGAAAGACTCTATGAATGTACACATTGTGGTAAAGCTTTTAGATATTCCAAGTATCTTCGATTACATGAAAGAATTCATACTGGAGAGAAACCTTATGAATGTAAACAGTGTGGTAAATCCTTTAGATTTCCTGGTGCCTTGCCGCTACATGAAAAAATTCATACTGGAGAGAAACCCTATGAATGTAAACAGTGTGGTAAAGCCTTTAGATTTCCTGGTTCCTTGCCATTACATGAAAAAATTCATACTGGGGAAAAGCCTTATGAATGTAAACAATGTGGTAAAGCTTTTAGGCGTCACTATCATCTTCAGTTACATGAAAAAATTCATACTGGTGAAAAACCCTATGAATGTAAACAGTGTGGGAAAGCCTTCAGACGGCATAGTCATCTTCAGAGACATGAAAGGACTCATGCTGGAGAGAAACCCTATGAATGTAAATAACATACTAAAGCTTTTATACTTCACAGTTATATTCTGTCACATGAAAGAATTCATACTGGAGAAGACAAATGCTGTGGGTGTAAACAATGTTGGGAAATCTTTAGGTTTCCTGGGTCCTTGCAATTATATGAAATCAATCATATTAGATGCAAACCCTATGAAGTAAATAAACACTGTGGTGAAGCCCTTAGTCACCTTCAATTTTGTAAAGAACCTGTATACTGAACAGGGCATTGGTGGCACACTACTTTAGTCCTAGCACTCAGGAAGCAGAGGCAGGTGGATCTCTGTGAGTTTCAGGCCAGCCTGGTCTACAGAGCCAGTTCCAGGACAGGCTCCAAGACAATACAGAGAAACCCTGTCTCAAAAAGCCAAAAAAAAAAAAAAAAAAAAAGAGAAACTGGAAAAAGCTATGTGACTGAATAGTGTGCTGAGGCTTTTAGATGTTATACTTGGCGGTTACAAAAAAGAACTTATTCTGGAAGGACATCCTCTGAATGTAAATAGTATAGCCAGAATGTCACATATCACAGTGTTCTTTAGACATGGGTTTTTCATATATAACCCATGTGTGACCCTATAAATGTAAAATATATCCATATGTAAAAAAAACAACAGATCTCTTCAGTCCCTTCATACTCAATAAAAGCTCTAAGGATGTGAACCATGTGGTAAAGGCATCCATCGTCTGTCACAGTTTCAGAGACTGTTGTGTTGGGTGATGTGAAAAAATTACTTATCTCTGGTGGAAAGCAAAAGTAATTCTTCCAGAGCACAACTTGGTGAGCCAGTAATTTTATTGGGGTAACTTATGGGAAGGATCATGGACAACTCTCAAGCAGATGCAGCATCAAACCACCCATGCCAGTTTGAGTGTTGACTCAACCCTATAAACCTGCACAACTGCTTAGAGAGTCTTTTATCTTGGCATGTTTTAAGCTTTGGCTTTCTGGGACTTACAGGTTAATTTGTATATTTCCTGAATCCAGGGCTTCCTTTTCTCTTCTGAGAGAATGTTTCAATTCAGAGGATATGGCGCAAGCCACCCCTTCCTGTGACTCTTTTTTTTTTTTTTTTTTTTTTTTTTTGAGGCAAAACATTGCTTGGAAGCCTGTCCTGGAACTAGCTCTGTAGACCATACTGGCCTCAAAGTCACAGAGATCCACCTGTCTCTGCCTCCCGAGTGCTTGGGACCCTTAACTTTTTCTTAAATTACTTTTAAAGGGGTGATATCGATGTCAGAAATGTTTGCTCCCAGGATGAACTGCAGATAACAATAACAGTGGTCCATGTGTGAATCATTAAAACAGTAGCAGTTAAGCCAGGCAGTAGTGGCGCTTGCCTTTAATCCCAGCACTTGGGAGGCAGAGGCAGGTGTATCTCTGTGAGTTTGAGACCAACCTGGTCTACAAGAGCTAGAACTAGTTCCAGGACAGCCTCCAAGCCACAGAGAGACTCTGTCTCAAAACACCAAAAAAAAAAAAAAAAAAAAAAAAAAAAGTATGGTATTGACATTGCTATTGGATTGCAGACAACTTGTACCTGTACAGCTATTAGCCTTTGTGCCTTTGTTTTATGAAATTAAACAGCTGGTGTTTGGTGCATGTGTAGCATCTTAGTTATTTCCTGAGATACTGTTCTCTATAATCACCACAATATGGCTGTCTTTATCTTCTAAAGAATTGTTCTTCAAAGCCTTTCATCACACATCGTGCCTCAAACACCGTGCCTCCACCCAATGCCCATCGTTTAGTTACTTCTTAACATTTGCTTTTTTTTTTTTTTTTTTTTTTTTTTTTTTTTTTTGTGGCCTGCTAGCTTACTTTCCACCAGTTGGTTTCTCTGTCAAGAATTACAGAATGAGAAATTTGCAGTCTACCACACATAAGATTTATTGCTCCAAGCCAGACAAGGATACATAGTGACACCTTGTCTAAAAATGAACAAAACAAAACCCAAAATCTGCCCTTAAAATGCACACATGTACACCTGCACACACATGCCCAAAGCCTGAGCCCTGCTGCAGAACACAGGTGAGTGTGGTGTACAGACAGGGAACACTGTGCTGCCTGGTGAATCCTTATATTTCATGCGAGTGTTTTGCCTACATGTATATATGTATGTTCACAGTGTGCATGGAGGTCAAGGAGGATTTTGGATCCCCTAGGGCTAGAGTTACAGACTGTGAGCCACTCTGTGGTGGCTGGGAATCAAACCCAGATGCTGGAAGAGCAGACAGTGCTCTTAACCACTAAGCTATGTCTCCAGCCACCTCTCCCATGTAACATTTTACTCATAAACATAGGTTGTGGAGCAAAGTTTAATTCCATTTCTTTTCAGAGTGGACCAGGCAGCATGCATTTAGTTGATTGGGTCATTTTAAATGGTAACAAGAATCTGACTAAGACATGAATGAAACCCATGGAGAAGAAAGCCCTCAGAACCCTCTTTGCCTTGTTATTAGTGGCCTACAGTGTAGCAGGCAGGAGGAGGGAGTTAGATCAGCCACAGCCACCAACTAGGCTTTGTGTGGCCCTCAGTGGAATGGGGTTGAGGGGTGTGTGGCTAACATCTGCTGCTAGGCATTAGCCCATTGGGTGCCAGAAATGAAAAAGCCTCAGCAAAGACGGGGTTTCTCTTTGATAAGTCTGCAGTAAGCCCTTGGATACAAAGTGGAGGCACTCTGAGTCAGTTCAATTTGGTTCATGACCGCACTCCTTAGCTATTTAAGAGTGAATTACTATCTCCCGTCTTTCTCACTATTCTATTGTGGTTTAGTTATTCTGGTGACCTCATGGATGTGTGTATCTTCAGTGTGTAAGGCTCCTTCAAACACCTTCTTTTCTGGCAAAGTGGTCTGGATTTCGTTCAGTTTGTGTATGTTACGAGAAGTTTTTCCCTTTTACGCCTGAAGTATATGCGTAATTTCTGTTTCTTTTGCTTCCACTCCCTGGTGTTGAGATTGATTGCAGGAAAAGCAACACTACATTTGGCTTGGAATGTATGTGTGCTTTCTTCTTCTTCTCCCCCCCCCCCCCCCCCCCCGGTTAAAAGGAGAATGTGCAACTTGTTAAAGTTTGAGAAAACTTTGGTGTGCCTTCCTGAAATTCCTGATCCCTGGAGGACTTCAAATCCGGTTCCAGTTTGATCGGGGAGAGTTGGGCGCTAGTCTAGCTGTGAGGCAAAGGTATCTTATTTCACTGGGCACTGTGTAATGGACAGTTCACACAAGCAAGCCTATGTCCAAGAGCAAGAACGCACTGAGTGCGAGAAGACAGCAGTGACAATTCTGGGAGGCAAAAGCAAGTTCTGCTTCCATGCAGATCTTGAGCCTTGAGCCAGGAAAGGCTGTGTGGTCCACGTCTTTTAATTTCAGCTCATCCACCTAAGAGAGCAGATCCTGTCATTCAGGTCTCAGCAGTCAATCAGGCCCTGGGGCAGGCCATTCATTCACAAGTGCCAAAGGAAGCTGCTCCTGTCACTCAGGCCCTCGTGGGGAGTGGTAGCTAATCAACCTCTGGGCCTGGCCACTCAAGTGCCTAAAGAACTGCCTCGTCATGCAGGCTACATTAGCCAATTAGGGCAATGGAGACGGGTTGTTCATGCAGTAGTATCCAGAGAACTCTTGTCAATCAAGCTTGTGGTGCATATCTGGCCAATCAGGACTTCGGAAGAGGCGGTCCAATCAAGAGCATCAGCGGGAGGCGGAAGGTGGGTTCTTTCCCGCCGCCATGCTGTGTGTTCTGCTCCGTGTCCTAAGCAGGCATCGCGTTGTCCCGTGTGCTGCGCTGTGAGCGCCACTGCGGGGAGCTGTGAGGCGAGCGCGGTCGAGCTCAGCAGCCGCGCCATGGTGAGCGCGGGGCCGCTGTCCCCAGACAGGGAAGAGCGGCCGGCTGAGCCGGGGGAGCCGGTGTGCTGGGCCCTCCCCGGGCTGGGGGAGGGGTGGGACCGGCCGGCGGACCGGGCACCCTATTAGGTTCATGCGGCAACCTTAGGCCCATCTTCAGCTAGGCCCTGCTCGGAGGATTCTGGTCACTTCCGCCTTTCCGGCCATGTCTGCTCAGAGCGCGGGGAGCAGAAGGCTCCGCCCTTTGCGGGGTAGCTTCCGGGTTGGTGACGTCACCGACCGGCGCTGGCTCCCTGTTTGTGCTTTTGGTGTCGCACTTAACTGCTGTGTTCTCTGCACTGTAGTGTAGACGTTCTGGACTTTGTATTTCACATTTGGGTCTAGTATCAACTCTGAGTTAATTTTGTGAAATTTTCTGAGTCTTTGTCCAAAGTATTTCTTAAGAATGGTGTCCCAGAAACAGTTCTAGAAAAGACTGCTGAGTGGATTTCCTTTGCTACTTTTATCAAAGGTTAGTTTGTTTCCTTATTTTTTTAGTTGGTTTGTGGGTCTTTTTATTCTACCTAAATAGTGCGTTGTCTTGTGTATTTGTTTGGGAATGTTAATTGTGTGCTGTGGGTTCATCTGTATTGTGCTGACCTTTTATTTAAAAAAATTTGTATATAATCTTTAGTAATAGTTTTCTGTTACTTATAAGGAATTATAAACATTTTTGTGGGTATTATTTAAATCTATAATTGAAACTGGGAACTGCATTTTAGGCTTGTGGCTGTCATGTGCCAAAAACATAGACAAATACATTTGCATCTTTCTACAATGTCAGCATTTATTGAATAGAAATTTAAAAGGTGTCATGCTTCCAATGATAATCTGGTTGAGGCTAAGGCAGGTTCTTTTTTTTTTTTTTTTTTTTTTGCAAATTGTAATTACTAATATTAATTTCATAACGCAGTAAATATATATGTATGTAAATGTGCTGTTTACAAATGCATTTAAGATAAAGAGGCTGCAGAAGAGTTCAGAGGATTCTAGAAGTTGGCTGAGAGAAATGTAAATAGTGTTTCAGTTGATGAGATGAATTAGAACTCATGATCAATGAGCCCCAGAAGGGAACTTTAAGTCTGGGAAAGAGTCAGGTTTGAAACTGTTGTTATGATGTTCCAGCTGTAAGATGAAAGGCACACTAGGGTCTGAGGTGAGCTCCTGGTCTCAGTGGACAAATAGAGACTCCGTTGAGCTGAAGCTGTAGGGACAATCAGGTATCAGATAATAGGTTGGGTTCAGGCCAGGTGTCTATCACTTTCTGAGGCTAAGCAAGAGAGGTGCATCCTTGTCTAAAACATTTTAAACATACACACACTACACACACCACACACACACACGAGAAATTCACCTGCCTTTATCAAGTGCTGGGATAAAAGGGATATGCCTTTATGCCTAAGGTTTTTTTTTTTTTGAGATACAGTCTTACTGGCTGCCTTGGAACTTTCAGTGTGCTGGCCTTGAATTTACAGAAACTCATTTGTCTCTGCCTTCCAAGTACTGGGATTAAATGAATGATAGGATTTTAATATGCCCACCTTCCCTGTAGTTTCAACACACCCTGACCATTTTCTACTTTTCTAATCCCAGGAATAATCTGTTTTCTAGTCTGTGCTGCATGGGCAATCAGATATCCTAGTTTTTAGATCTGCCCAGGGGCTGTAGGCAGTTCCCTTCCCTCAAAATGGATTCAGAAGCTGCTTTAAAATGTTGTCTCTCAGGGCAAGTCAGCCTGACAAACTTTTCCAGTGTTGAATGACATCAAGCAAGGCATGGCCTGAGCTCAAATGTCTATCTGCAATTTGGCAGTAATTCTCCCATTAGTAAGGTGATTATTAGAAATTTGCAATTAGCTGGGCGATAGTGGTGTACACCTTTAAAGGAAGCAGTAGGGAAGCAGAGGCAATTGGAGACAGCCAGGTCTACAGAGGGAGCTCCAGGATAGCCAGGGCTACACAGAGAAACCCCATTTCAAAAAGAAAAAATAAAATTAAATAAGGTTAAAAATTAATATAGAATTTTTTAAATTGCAAAAATTGTAGCTGGAGAGCTGGCTGAGTTAAGAGCACTGGCTACTCTTTCAAAGGACCCAAGTTCAATTCCAAGTACCCCTATGGTAGATCACAACCATCTATAGCTTCATACAACACCCTGTTCTGTCCTCCTTGGACACCTGGCTCACAGATGGTATATGGACATACTGACAGGCAAAACACTCATACAAATAATGTAGAAAATAAAAACAGTCAAAAATAATTACAAATAAAAACAAACCTAAAGCTATTGTATCATGGTCAAGTGGAAGTTAAGGCAGGTATGTAGGACCAACAGAAACCTGAGGCTGTTATTGCATCTCACTGGTAGAGCACATGCTAATTTCCACATTCAAAAAGGAAAAATTAACAGCCAATGTAATCCAGTATATACACAATTAAGAAAAATTTTATGATCATGCCAAGTCTTTAGGATGGGGGACAACAAAACTATGTCATATATCAAGAAAAGGTCAGAAAGCTATTGAGACTTAGAAGATATTATTATGCACAGAAAAGCCCAAGAACTAACAGGAACTCAAGGAATTAGTATCTGAAGGATACAGGATTAGTAGGCAAAATTCTGTTTTCCTGTATGTCAGCAAAAAACAATAGGTTGTGAAAATAAAAAACATTGCACTGCTTATATAATACCACCAAGGAGAAAGACAGAAATGCATGCAAATATAGCAAAGAACTACAGACATTAACTACAATTTTTTTTTTTTTTTTTTTTTTTTTTTTTGGAGACAGGGCTCCAAACAGTGGATGTCCTGGAAACTGCTCTCTACAGAGGCCAGAATGGCCTCAACTCAGATTAAAAGCTGCAGCACCACTGTGTGGCAACTTTTATATGTATGAATGTTTTGCTTGCATATATGTCTGTATACCGCTTACATGCCTAGTGCCTGCAGAGGCTACCAGAGGGCATCAGATCTCCTGAAAATTGTAGTTGCAGATGGTTTTGAACTGTCCTGTGTGCTGGAAATTGAACCCAGGTCTTGTGTGAAAGAACAGCTGTGTTCTAAACCACTGAGCCACCTCTTACTTTTCTATTAATTAATTAGCATGTATTTTTTGAGATAGGATCTTGTGTAGGCAAGAATGACCCTGAACTCCTGATTCTCCTGCCTCTATTTCTATATATATTTATATGTATTTCTTTCTTTGTCTTTCTCATTGGTGGTATATAAGCAGTGTAATGTTTTTATTTTCACAACCTGTTGTTTATTGCTGACATACATGAAAATGGAATTTTGTCTACTAATCCTGTTTCCTATAAGTTTGCTGTAGCATCTTATTAATGCCTTGACTTTTTGTTAGTTCTTGGGATTTTCTATGGATAATAACAGGCATGCATCAGGACATGATTGAATAATGTCATTATGTATGAAGAATGTTCTGATTATTGTCATGTCCTGTTCCCTAATTTCCCTTTCATCCTCTTTAGTCAACTCTTGCTTACAATTCCCTTTGAAATACTCATGTTCTCCCCCCTCCCCCTTTTTGTTTTGAGGCCCACAGTTTTAACCAGGATCATCTGTGTGACCATGGGTAAACCTACCATTGGAGCTTGGTGGGCACCTCAGTGGGTACACAATTGAAGATTGACTTTCCTCCAGAATCCCTCGGTAATCATACTTCAAGGAGGGGTGATCGATTCAGGATTGGCAGTTTCATTGCAGAAACTCATGGCTTTTGTCGTCAAGTTGGAATGGTATTAGCTCTGCCATGCTCAGAAATCAGCATTTTACATCCCATCCTGCTATCTTCTTGGCCTTTGTTTGTGTCTTTTTGAGACAGGTGTAGTCCAGACTGGCCTTGTACTCAAAAAGATTCACCTGCCTATGCCTCCTCAGTGCTGGGATCAAAGGTGTGGGCCACCAGCGCCCTGCTGGGCCTTTCATTCTTTATGCCCCTTCTACAGTGATCTCTGAGCCTTAGAAGTGGTGGTATCAATTTCCTGTTTGTGGCTGAGTACTCTGGTGTCCACTTACTCTCAGCACCTTGAGTGGCTGTGCATCTCTGCAATCTCTGCAGAGAGAGGCTTCTCTGATTTAGACTGGGAGTAGCATTTGTCTGTGGGTATAAACAGTATTTAGATGGTAACTGGGTGCTAGGACAATTTAGCTAAACAGTAGTGCTGAGTTCATCCCTCCTGTCTCAGACATGGGGTTTTGGCTACATTAACTGCCTGCATGGCTTCTCTTACGAAGTGAACCTCATATCCAATTAGAGAGCAGTCTGATTGTCCTTGGAATGATTATACCACTACTGCACAGGTGGGTAAGAAGATTCCTCTCTAGCAGCCTGCATTGCACCTTCGGGAACTGACAGCCAACCAGCAGGGAGGAAGCTTTCAGCTCATTTCCAGTTTGATTTCTCACTGCATTGTAATAGTATGTATGTTGTCTCCAGCAATAGCAACCAACTCTGGTGGGCAGCCAAGAGGAGCAGAAGAGGGTGTGTTATTTGGGAGACATCTGGGGCTTCTCTGATTAATAGCTAATAAAATAAGGAAGCAACTCACTCCTGTACTGGAGTTACGGCTTAACATTGGCTTTTAGAAGCATCATTTATGTAGGGTCTTTCCCTTGTAACTTACACATGACCTAGCTATCAGCATTCCTGGACAAATGATCAAAGAACTCCATATTCTTCTACAGTAGGTACTTGCACAGCCATGTTCATTGTCACCCTTACCTGTAATAACTGGTGAGTGGATAATAAAAATTGTGCATACATAATTGGCTTTTGTGAAGAAGAAATTCTGAAATGTGCAGGCTAGTGGATGAAACTGGATAAAAATACGAATGAACTGATAACCCCAGGCTGGGAGAATAAACACCTGGCGTTCTTTCCCATGGGTGCTGGCTTTATACCCTTAGGTTGGTGTGTCATCACTTGTAGGAAAAAGGGCCTCAAGGGAAGCAAAGGCAGGACCCAGGACCTGGGGAGTGAAGCAGAGGCCCTGGAGGAGTGCTCTATACTGCATTTCTTTTCTGACTTGCTTAGCTGCACAGGGGCCACAGCTGGTTGGAAATTCAGCAGCAATCACTGACCAAGATTTGTGAACAGTCCATTCCGATGGAGTCAGTTTCTCAGTTGAGGTTACTGCTTCCTAGGTGACTCAAGTTGATGTCAAGTGGACAAAAATTAATCACACTTTTAAAAGAGTTGGGTATATAGACCTAGTAGTATATAGCAAGCTTCTATCCAAGTATATGATTGTTCTTTTTTTTATTTTTAATGTTGAGAACATCTCACTTATTTCCATACAGGTTGCAGCAGTTTCCATTCTCAACAGCAGTGAATAAGGCCCCTTTGCCTGCATCCTCACCAGCATTTGTTGTTACTTATTTTCTGGCTGGTGTGACAGTCTTAAAATAGTTTAATTAACATTTCCCTAATAGCTAAGGGCATTGATTTTGTTTTGTGAACAGCACAGCTCTTCCATGAGGCGCTTTTGCTCTTTTGTCTAAAATTGGGTCTATTTGTTTAAAAAAAATATTTATTATGTATACAGTGTTCTACCTGTATAATTGCCTACACACCAGAAGAGGGCACCAAATTTCATTACAGATGGCTGTGAGCCACCATGTGGCTGCTGGGAATTGAACTCAGGACCACTTAGCCTCTGGAGCCACCTCTCCAGCCCCAAATTGGGTCTATTTTTGTGGGTTTGTTTCTGGATTTTCTGCTTCAGTGTTCGTTGCTTAAGTTAAGTGCACGGTCATGATTGTGGTAGTTTTATAGGACATCTTTAGTCAGATAGTATCAATGTGTGTACTCTTCAGAGTTGTGTTGAACATTTTTTTTTCCTGCTCGCCCTTTCCATGTAACCTGTAGAATCGGTTCTGGTTATAACATAATCTGGTTCTGAATGTTATGAGGAGGGTGATTATAGTGAAGAAACATAATGTCTTAACAATGTTGAGACTTCCTGTTCTCTGTGATGGTGACTTTTGGTTTTCCTTCATTAGAAATGTTTGGTTCTTGTCCAAAGGCTTGTCTCTTATCTACCCTTTTTTCTAAGGTGCTGTACATGTGATGTAGAATTGATATTTGTATATACAGTTATTTACTGCTATTATTGGAAAATGATGGTCTTTTGTATATTCATGTCTCAAAAGTTTTCAGTTCCTCAGGTTTTTGTGGATTTCCTGTATGGAAATTTTTTTTCTTCTCAATCTCAGTGTCTTTGCATTTATTTCCCATGTCCCTCCTCATGGTAGTTGATATCATATGACTTTTTGGGATTTAACCTGTTGATTTGTTACATTTCACTGATTAGAGAGTTTTTCTCTTGGAGTTCTGGGGATTAAGTTAAGGCTTAAAAGCATGGACAATATTAAGATAAAGGTGGAGCACAGTCACTAGCCTTCAGAGGGTTCCTAGAAAGGTGCATGTAATAAAGTATTGCTGAAAAGCTGAGAACAGTAAAAACAGAGCTAACCACTTCAAAATCTTGGAAACTTTTACCATATGTAATCAACTAAGAGGCCTGTCTCTGTGCAGGTCTGTCAGGGAAGTTCAGGAATGATGAACTGAGTCAAGAAGACCCTGTTGTATAGTGGGTGGTACTTTATGAAAAGTCCAAAGAAGCAGTGTTGCTTTCCTGCCTTCCTTCTCTTCTTGCTGGTGAGTGCATCTGTCCCACTGCCACCGCTGCCGCCACCACCATCCTTCACTGACATTGGAACCCTGCTTCTTGGGGACTGAAGACCAGAAGCTTTCCAGGTGTGTTCTAGGCCTTTGGCACCAGATTGAAGCACTTGAGGCTTCCTGCCTTGTGCACAGAGCCTCTGCATCATGGAGACAGCCATTGTTGGACTATCCAGGCCGGATCAGGTAATCCAATATAATATATATCTTACTAATTCTTCCAGTCTTACTCTGCTAGAGAATCCTGATTTGTTCAATGGCCACCTATGTCCTCCTCTGCTTATGAGTGCACCTGAAATACTACTTTTAAATAGCCATTTTCTATTTTATAGTTTGTACATGTAAGCCATATAAGAATAAGACATTTTTTCCATTTTCTTCACCAGTCAATGGCCTAAAATAATGACTAGAACAGCATGCTTAGCAACAACAAGTAATGCCACAGTCATTAGATGTTACCAGGAAAATTGGGGTCTTTTTTGGGGTTGTTGAGCCTCATTGAGCAAGAATAAGACCATTACCACTTTTTTTTTTTTTTTTTTTTTTTTTTTTTTTAGCCAAATTTGAAGCAAACTTTGTTAAATACTAGCCAGGGTGAAGGACACTAGCCAGGTTCGTACCCAGGATTCCCAGAGAATGGGACTTATAAAGGCAAAACTCACAAGGCTGCCTACTTCCTGCCTTTGTCCAATGGGGGCAAGCATACATCCTGACATGCTTCCTGCCTATGTACCTCTCTCCTGTGTGGGATCAAGCACATCCTGTGCAGCTGGGGCAACCAACATTATTCACAGAAGTGAAAACACATGACTTGTCATTTTATGTGAAAAACAACTCAGTATTCTAGTAAGCAATCTGTCCTTGGGCAAGTGGGGCTTATAGGTCAGAGGCATTTGTTTTATAGTTTTCCACCCTCTTTTCCACCCACTTTCCCTCCCTCTCTCCTCTCCCTACCTCCCCTTTCATTTTTCCAGATGATTTTTCTTTGTGTAGCCCTCACTGTCCTGGGGCTCTGTAGACCAGGTTGGCCTCAGACTCACAGAGATCCTTCTGTCTCTGTCTCCCACCACTGGCCATTGTTTTATAACTCTTTTAAGCACAGAAGTTTAAACTTAAAACATAACTTTAGTCCTCATAGGGTTTTTAGTTACATTAATAAGAGAATTTAAGAATGAGCCCAAAGGAAAGCTTGAGGAAATTTTATTAAGAGTTTAAAGGAAAAATCCCAAGGCAGGAAGGCTTAAATCTTGACATCTGCTAGGAAAAGGGTGATGAAGAGGAAGAGAAAAATCCATGCCATTTGAGTTAAGCCACCTCAGATGTTAGCTACAGGGCAGACAGGCATTCACATGGCCTTTGGAGAACAATGGAAACAACTCAAGTACCAGAAAAACCATTCTTTTATGCTCTGGCCTGCGTCAAAAGAAAAGGAACAGAGAGTGCAAGAGAAAGGGCAAGCTTCATCTTGAGTATTCAGAAAGGCAGACAGACCCAGGAGACCCTAAAGCTGCTTAGAGGGAAATGAACATTATCTCATTAATGGGATAATTATTCCTCCCATCCCTTTAGCTTACCTTACAGCTAGTCAGCCCTCCCTGGAGTTTGTCCCTTAGCTCAACTGTTGACCAGCTCAATTGTATCACCTTTTTTTTTTTTTTTCCTTCTCTGAGACAGAGTTTCTATGTATAGCTTTAGATGTCCTGGAACTTGCTCTGGTTGCCAACCTGGCCACAAACTCAGAGACCCACCTGCTTTTGCCTCCTAAGTGCTGGGACTAAAGGCCTGCACCACCACCTTCCGGTTCTGTATTAACTCTTAAGGGCAGACACAAAGCATTTCTCCACCCAGACTTACTTGACTAGAAGGAACCAGCTTTTTCTTAATGGCATCTTCAGTTCATGCTCAAGGGCACAGATAAGGCTCTCATCACTAAACTGCCTGTACCGTTTCTTTGTCTCTTGTTCCCCTCCTTCCTCTCCTGAAGAGGTAGCCCTAATTATCATCTAGAGATTTGGGACAACAGTTTATCTGGCTTCTTTGAGGTTGTCTAAAGTGAGGTCCAGTGTAACAGTTGGTGTATCCTTCCTTGGGCCTTTCTAGGGAACCTCAAATCTGCATTAATGGTTACATTTGTATGGCAACCAGGTGTATTGAGGAAAAGAAGAAATGAGCTTGGAATAAGACTGAGTGGAGACAAATAAAAGTGAAGTTGGAATAGTTTGAGCAGAGGATGGAGTGTATCCCTTGCCTGGGGCAGTCATCATTTTGATACAGAAGCTTAATATTGGGAGATCTGGGCAGAAAAGCTGTTGTCACATAGTCCATAGTCACTTTTGAGAGGCTGATCCTCGAGATGTCTCTTGAGTTTGGAAGTGATTAATAGACTGTCAAAAGAGAAACAGGAGTGTTCAGAGTTGCCATGCTGAGTCATTTACCCTTATCATTTATGTCCAAGTGCAGTCTCTTAGAGAGGATGTTAATCCTCAGGCCAGCAGAGGCTAAACACTGAGCATGACTTACAAGGACAGACAGCCTCCTGAGCCCTAATGTTAATGCTGTTGTATGTATCAGATGATAGGGTGTGCCTGGGACAAGATCTAGGGATGGATGGAGAAAGAGAATGGGGTGGGGAAGCAGCACATCTCCTCCTGGGTGCAGTAACGAGGAGAGCAATCTGTCTGCTGTCTCTGAACATCACTCAGTGCTTTTACTAAACCACTCAGTTATGCTGTCATACTGTCAGATGTGGACAGATGTTTGTTCTCACCTCCTCTTTCATATACAAATATGGAATGTTCTAGGATCTAGTGAGCTTTGAGGATCTGGCTGTGAACTTCACCCAGGAAGAGTGGGATTTGCTGGATTCTTCTCAGAAGATTCTCTATGGGGATGTGATGCTGGAAACCTTCAGGAACTTCACTGCTATAGGTGAGGGCATCATATAACCTTCATTCCATAAATTAGAGAACAAATGTTCCTGGTTATTGATGGTCGCTGTAGTTTGGATGCGGAAAGGGAAGAATGTGGTGAAGAAATTAGAAATAGTTGTAACTGTGCGTTGTGATAATTTATCACATTTTCCGTGACTGTGTTTCAGGGTACGAATGGGAAGACCAGACAATTGAAGAACATTATGAAGAACCTGAAATAAATCTAAGGTAATCTGTATGCCAAGGGGAAGTAAATGTCCCTCAGAGAAATTTAATGTGCCATGAAAATTTAAGAACAAATTAACAAATGAGCCCAACTTTAAATTTACTCATCAGTAGAAAATTTTTACCTCAAATGTGTACCTTCATCTAAGTTTAGATTTTGCATAGTGTTTCAGAACCAGTTCTGTGACCCTCCATTGACAAATGCTACTATTTTGGTCTTAGGCCTATGGGAACCATGTTTTAGAGCCATCAGTCCATTTATTTTCAGATCTTTCGTATGAAGGCACGCATTTTGCTTGTTTTGGGTAATAGATGGTCTAATAAGCAAACAGTAGTAAAAGAACAGTCACTAATGTGCTTGTCATCTCTCACAGAAGATACTCTGGTAATGAATGAAGCAGGTGCTCAGGGTGGAGCAACCTTATCCATATACCAATCTTAGTATGAGCAGCAATGCAGGTGGAGACATTTTCATGTGTCATTCATTTTTAATAGGCACATCGTCTCTCACTCTGAGTGTACGCAGTATGAACGTGAGGAATATGAACAGAAGCCACAGGATTCTAATTTTCTTACAAGGGTTGAAGGATACACAGAAACTCAGACTTCGAGTGGACCTTCTGTATGTGAGGTATGTTTAAAGACCTTTGGACTATATCACCTGACTTACAATGGACATCATAACTATGACTACAAGGAAGTTGGAGGAAGCCAGACCGATGAAAATGATTATGATGGCAATCAGTGTGATAAAACTTCCAGTTCCCTTCAAAAACAAGAAAAAAATCATACTGGAAAAAAACTCTATGTGTGTCAAGAGTGTGGTAAAGCCTTTAGGTATCCCAGTGCCCTCCAGTTACATGAAAGAATTCATACTGGAGAAAAACCCTATGAGTGTAAAGACTGTGGGAAGGCATTTAGAGGTCTCAGCGCCCTTCATTTGCACGAAAGAATTCATACTGGAGAAAAACCCTATGAATGTAAACAGTGTGGCAGAGCCTTCACATATCTCAGTGCCCTTCAATTACATGAAAGAATTCATACTGAGGAAAGACCCTGTGAGTGTAAACAATGTGGTAAAACCTTCAGATATAGCAGGGCCCTAAAGTTACATGAAAGAATTCATACTGGAGAAAAGCCCTATGAATGTAAACAATGTGGTAAATTCTTTAGAAGTCACAGGACTCTTAAGTTACATAAAAGAATTCATACCGGAGAAAAACCCTATGAGTGTAAAGAATGCGGGAAAGCTTTTAGATGGCTTACTTCTCTGAAGTTACATGAAAAAATTCATACAGGAGAAAAACCCTATGAATGTCAAGAGTGTGGGAAAGCCTTCAGATGTCAGGCTTCTTATCATAGACATAAAATTACTCATGGTGGAGAAACATTGTATGAGTGTAAAGAGTGTGGTAAGTCCTTCATTTACCCTTCTTTACTTCAAGTACATGAAAGAACTCACACAGGCGAAAAGCCCTATCAGTGTAAGCTGTGTGGGAAAGCTTTTAGATGCCAGTCTTCGCTTCGATTGCATGAAAGAACGCACACCGGAGAAAAACCCTATGAATGTAAACACTGTGGCAAAGCCTTTTCAAGTTACAATTATCTTCGATTTCATGAAAGAAGCCACACTGGAGAGAAACCCTATGAATGTAAAGAATGTGGTAAAACCTTCACACATCGCTCTTACCTTCGATCACATGAAAGACGACATACTGGAGAGAAACCGTATCAGTGTGTTCAGTGTGGTAGATCCTTCAGTCGGCATAGTTCCTTTAAAAGACATCAGTCTGTTCATGGCGTGGAAAACCCATATGAATGTCAACAATATCTAATTCCTTTATCCCCATTTCCTTCAAATGAATGAAACAGATATTGGCAACAAACCCTTTGAATGTAAACGATGTTACAAAATGTCCCCATCCACATAAAACAGTTGGGAACTCAAGACAGGGATGAACCTTTTATATGTAAACTGTGACATAGCCTTTCAGGGGTCAGGATGTCCTTCAGATCCATGAAGGAATTCATGCTGGGCAAAGTTTATATTTGTTACCAATGTGGTGTCACTTGTCATACTTCTTTTCAGAGAAGTAAGTTAATTCATGCTGGTCAGATGCCCTATGAGTGTACAAGATGTGGTTAATTTTTCATTTCTTCCTGTTTGCCTTAAAATCATGAAAGAACTCAGTGGTGAAAAAAATCACATGAATATAAGCAATGTGGAAAAGACTTCAGGTGTCACAGGTCCTTTCAGTAGCACGAATGAAATCTCATGATGGAGAGATTATGTGAGTGTAAGATGTGTTAAAACCTTTAGATATTGTTGCTTCCTTAGATTCCATGAATGAACTCATACTGGAAATAGTTTCCATGTAACAATAAAAGCTGTGAGGCCTTCAAGGTTATAGTTCTTTCAGAAACCTGTGATGGATGGTGGGCAGTTCTGTAAGTGTAAGAAGTGTGGGAGCTTAATGGTTGCTGAGAGATGGATTTCCATTATAGTGGCTGCCCATTGATTTGCCTGGGTTCTGGTAAATACCCCCAGTTAAACTTGGTGGTTCCTCAAGCCACACTTGGGTACAATCATTCTTTGTCCCTGTCTTTGGTATCCTGTCTGGGACAAATAAACCATCATAATGTCTTCAAAGTTCACACTATAGGGACTTTTAAAGTTGGGCTGTATTTGCATCAGTGTGAAACATTGATAAGGAAGGGAGGCTGTGGCTAAAAATGCTGTTTCTGTGTTGGGATTGTGGTTTGCTTCATTTGTCAACTTGTTACAATCTGGAACTACCTGGGAAAGGATCTCAATGCTGAATTATCTAGGTTAGGTTAGCTTTGGGCCCAGCTGTCAGGGGTTTCCTTCCTTGGGTTAATTGAGGTAGGAAGAATGTTAAATGCTGTACTCAGAAGGAGCTGAGTACAGGCATTCTTTGCTGTCTGCCTTGGGACTATGGATACAATGTGACCTGCTATGTCATTTCCTGATACCATGACTGGTCCACAGTAATGGATTGTAACCTGGAACTGTGAGCTGAAATAAACCCTTTCTTTCCTAAATTGCTTTTGTCAGGGTATTTTATGCCAGACACAGGAATGAAGCTAAGATTGCCTGGACCTATGGCACAGGAGAACACTTGCCTTGGCTGTGATGTGAGTGGTCACAGCACTGGAGGGTACTTTTTGAGGATGCTGCCTCCAAAGCAGTAAGCCCAACCAACTTATCTATTCCAAAGTGCCATGGAAGGGTATGCTCTCCTGCTGCCTTGCCAGCTTCACAACCCCCTCTGCAACTTGGGTGTAGTGCAGCACATCTTTATGAAAGATGAGGTTGGCCACATATGGGGATGATCCCGTGTGGCTGCAAGGTGCGTCTTTGGGACATACAGCCATCAGATGCATGCTCCTTGGTGCAGGCAGTGGGGCATGTAGCAGGCTCAGGTGTTAGCTCAGCAGGAGCTTATCCAAATGTGCAGCCATTAAAACAGGAAAGATATGCAGGTAGTCTGCTGTGTTAGCTGCATATTGGCAGAGAAAAGAAATGAGATGGAAGAGATGAACAATTACACAAACAAACACCCAATTCTTCTTGAGCTCCCAAACCCATGGGAAGAATTAAAACAGCAAAGAGTAAGAGTGAGGTTTAACCTTACTAGGAATAAAAAGCTCAGAATAGAGCATGGAGATGGAGGCCTGAATACTAGCCCCATCCAGGAGACCAATAGCAAATGGCCTGCCTTGGGAGATTTCAAGCTTGAGCAAATGTTTAATAGGGCTGGGTAGTTGAGAAAGTCTTAAGTTTTCAAGAGGTGGCCAGTTATGCCCTTATAAGGCATGTGTGATTGTTAGCCCAGCACTGTTGGTGGCTGGAGGTGAAGTAGCAACAGCCTGTGGTACATCTTGCTTCCAGAAGCCAGGGAGGTAGGTTTGCATGCCTGTGCTCTAGGCCAGTTAGGACCAGAACCAGCTTTTTCCCCACAATCCTGATAAGAAGGTATGCAGCAGGCTTGTGGCAGCATTGTAGAGAATGACTGAACTGTGTAGGGCTGAGCTAGTACTTTCTGCATAGTTTTTCTTGAGGTAGGGTGTCACGTAGCTGAGGGAGGTTTCATTTTGTGCTGGGTATGGAATTCAGGCCCACTCTGGCTTAGTAAGCTAGCAGCTGAGCTGCATTCTCAGCTCAGCATCCATCATTGAAGAAACAGTACAAGTTGAAAGACCCCAGCAGACCCCAAGAGTTTGGAGTCTGTCAGGGGGGAAGGCCCTTGCCCCCAAGAGACGAGATCAGACCAACTGGATGCAAGTGCAAGAAGTTATTTATTGTTTACACAGGTACCTGTGGACGCTTCAGTCTTTCAGGGGACTGAGCATGCTGAGGTTAAAACTCAGGCAGTTTATATAGGGTTGGGGTGGCAAGAAGCAGGCTTACAGAAGCAGAAGCATGGTTACGGGGATTTCATTGCTTCATCTAAATGTAGCAGTTGTAGCTAACCAAGGACAGTTGGTTATTCGGGTTGGGCACAAAGAATACAAAGAATTCAGTTATGACTCTCTCAGCATCCCGGATACCGTCCTGCTGACCTTGCTTTGGTTCAAGTTGCAGACCACAGATATCTGGTTGGCGTTGGATGAGAGCCGCACCTGGTTCCCTCCTGTGCTTTTCTCATAACTTGACCTTGGCAAATTAGCAAGAGCAATTCAAACAGGCAATAAGCATAGTGGCGGGGGGGGGGGGGGCTTTCAAAGTGAGTTATGGGGAAACACTTGGTACTGGTGACAGAATCTTCATGCTGTTGGGTCTTGCTAATATTTATTGACTTTTGCTCCTGACTGTTCAGCTGGCACTTGTTTGGGATGGTGGCTTGTGGGCCCTCAGTGATCCTGAGACCCCTGTGTATAAAGGTATCACTTCACCGCTTACATACTAGTCTCTGTGTGTTTCACAGAGTTAGAAAAGCATCCGTGTGAGCTGAGTGACTACCAGAAGGGAGGTACACATGTGCACAGGGCTGGCACATGGGAAATTCCTGGAATTAGTCTGTTCTGTTTTTTGAAGAGACTATGACCATGACAACTCTATGAAAGAAACCATTTAATTGGGGGTCACTTACTGACTTACAGTTTCAGAGGTTTATTAAGTCCGTTATCATCATGACCAGGGGTATGGCAGCATACAGGCAGACATGGAAAATTAGCTGAGAGTTCTACATCTTGATCCACATGTAGCAGGACAGACACTGGGCCTGGCCTAGGCTTTTGAAACCTAAAAGCCCACCCCACTGACATAGTTGCTCCAACAAGGCCAGACCTAATCATTCTAATTCTCAAGCTACACCCTGATGCCTAAGTATTCAGATGTGTGAGCCTGTGGTGGCCATTTTTATTCAAACTTACAACACAAGTGATGTAAAGTAAATGAGAAAAATCCTCAACACTAGACTAGAGAGATGGCTTAGCAGTCCAGAGCACCTATTGCTCTTGCAGAGGACCCTAGTTTGGCTCCCAGCACTCAAGTCAGTTGGCACAAAAGTGCTCCAGACAGAGCACATAACCCCACTCAAGACACAAGCATACATGTAATTTAAGTGAAAAAAAAAAAAAATCCCAATAGCCTGTACCAATAGATGTTAAAACAATGGTTGAAGTTTGAATGAAGGTACCCTGTGTGTATGGGAAGTGTTTACAGGTGGGCTGCCTTTCTTGGAGCTGCTTGTGGAGAACAGCCCCCAAACAACACATGTTGTTGCCAATGCTGTTAGTTGCACATCAGAACTAGATAGTAAGACTCTGTTGCTGAAGACACTGCATGCTGTGCTTGGTGGCTGTGGAAAAAAAAAAGCTGAGACTGAGCTGGGAGGTTCATGGGTGACTATAGCGGCTGTGCAGGGTAAAGGGGAGAAGTACTATCCACGGCATTGCTCAGCTTGGGACTCTCATACCACATTAGCAAACTGGTAGGCATCTTTTTGCAGGCAGCAGTTAGGGCTGATACGCATGGGCTGTTTGGGGAGTCAGAGATTAAGTGGCTGTTCATGCTTATCCCTAAATAAGACAGTGTTCATGGACACATGCACACATACCTGTGCACGTGTGCGCGCACGCACGCGCGCACACACACACACACAGACACACGGCACTGGTAGAGTGGATAGAAACAGTGGAAAGCTACAGGAACAAGTCCAGTGTTGCTGAGTTTGGCATCACCATTTTCCTCTTGAAATCCCAGCACCTGTGATGACCTCCCGGAGACCAGACAGAATTGAGCCTTTTGTTTCATGCCCAGGGGTGCTCAAGAGGCCCTGCCAGCCTCCCAAGGATTTATAGACAGTTAATATTAACTAGGTGGTGGATTGTTAGCCAGAGACAAGCCATTTGTATAGCTCCTCCACTGGTTGAACTAGTAATTCACATAACTATGATAAATTCCTAGTTTTGAAGTAACTCAATTTTTCTTTTTCTTTTTTTATACATATTTATTACCTTTTTATTTTCCATATCGACCCCAGTTCCCCCTCCCTCCATCCCATGCTACCTGACCCCCTCTCTGGTCCCATTCCCCAGTCAATCCACAGTGAGGGTGATGCCTTCCAAAAGGGATCATCAAAAGCTGTCAAGTCATTTGGAGTAGGGACTAGGCCCTCCATCCTGTCTCTAGACTAAGGGAGTATCCCTCCAAGGGGAATGTGCTCCCAAAGTCCTTTTGTGCAACAGGGTTACATCCTGGTTCCACTGTCAGAGGTCCCTTAGTCTGGCCAGGCCTTCTAACAGACCCACATTCAGGGGGTCTGAGTCTGACCAGTGCTGGTTTCCCATGAGCTCCCCCTTGTTTAGGTCAGCTGTCTCTGGGTTTCTGTAGCCTGGTCTTGACCCCATTTTCTTATCACTCTTCCCTCTCTGCATCTGGATTCCAGGAGTTTGGCTCAGTGTTTAACTGTGTGTGTCTGCTCCTGTTTCCATCAGCTACTAGATGAGGGCTCTGTGATGGTAGATAAGTTAGTTATCAATCTCATTATCAGGTAAGGGCATTTAAGGTAGCCTCTTTGCGGTTGCTCAGACTGTTAGTTGGGGTCATCCTTGTAGGTCTCTGGACATTTCTCTAGAGTCAATTTTCACTTCAAAGTTTCCCTCTATTATGGTATCTCCTTTTTTAGTTTTATTTATTTATTTATTTATTTATTTATTTATTTATTTATTTATTTATTTATTGCTCTCTTCTCAATCTTACTGGTCCCGCATACTCTCTTTTTCCTAGCTCCGTCTCCACTCACTGGCCCCCCACTTCCAATATGCTCAGGAGATCTTGTTCATTCCCCTTCTGTGAGGGACCTTGTATGAATCTCTTAGATTCCGCCTTGTATCCTAGTTTCTGTGGTGGTATGAATTATAGGCTGGAGATCCTTTGCTCCATGTCTAAAATCCATATATGAGTGAGTACATACCATGTTCCTCTTTTTGTGACTAGGTTACCTCAATCAGAATGGTTTCTTCAAGTTCTGTCCATTTACCTGCGAATTTCAAGATTCCATTGTTTTTTTTCTGCTGAGTAGTATTCCATTGTGTAAATGTGCCATATCTTCTTTATTTATTCTTCAGTTGAGGGGATCTAGGTTGCTTCCAGCTTCTTGCTATTACAAATAATGCTGCTATGAACATAGTC